CGGGCCAATCAAATTTTCTTTTTTGTGTGATATGATCGACGAAAATCATTACCAATTATACGAATGTCCACCATGCTCAGCTTCACAGATTCATAACGAATGAAACAAACAATTTGATAAACCTTATTTGAATAGGACATTCTATTTTTTTTTTCAATTCATATATAAAATTCATTGCCTTCACAAACTTTTTAAATTCATTCAAACTCTTATTGTTTCAGGTTCTAAAATACGACATCTTTGAGTAATTAAGTCTGTTCCTCCAGAAAAACTCATCCAACCAGGACATTGGTTACTATAATAAGTTTATTAGATTAGAAATTAATAAATTTAATTCTAAAAAATTAGAATACCAGGTTTGAATTTGTAGAAACCGAAACCGAACCTTAAGTACGGAACCATTTCATAGTTGTAATTGAAAAAGTCAAATGCAATTATTGTCCTGGATAAATTTTTTTTACTATTTATTTCCAATGACAACTCTTTTAGAATTCAAATTATTTCATATATATATATATATATATATTTGAATTAGATTTGAACTAAATCAAATCATCTATAGATTCGAATCAAAGTTCAAATCAAATCAAAGCACAATTTGTAATTTGATTCATACTTGATTCAAATGAAATAAATCTGCTAATATTCTCCATGTTTATATGAGGCTGTTTCAATAGAAAAGGACCAAGTGTTGATTTTTATTAATCAGATGCACTTTCCATAAAGGTTTAATTATGATAGGAAAGCTATTCCCCAAAAATAAATTTACACTAATTAAAGTCATTATATTGCCCAATTATTTTTTTAATCATCCAAAATGGATTCGTGTGGAATAACACACCTTGATTTTCAGTTAAACTTTCCTCGACAATATAAGTGTATTGGTCATTTTTACGTTTCTCTGTCATTTTGTAAGCAATCAAAAAATTAAATCCTGGACAATGTAATCTAAATTGTTTCTCATATCCGTCAGGACTTTTTTTAAAAAACAAATAATCGCACAAGCATATTATTATACTATTAATATATATAGATTTAAATGTAAATATTGTGTTGAACAAATATAAATCAAAATCATAGGATTATCAGTTTCCACAGCATTTAACTTATAAATACGTTTACAATTTGCTATTATATATGCTTTATCTGTTTTTCTTCTTGGTAATTTTTCCAATTTGGCATAAATATAAATACATACCTATGACTGAAATAAATTCACTACATAAACAATAATATACGTGAAGATCTTATTCGGAGAGCTTATTAACTTGTTCAGAAAAAGAGATTGTGGGACTTGAAACAATTAAAAAAATGCTCGAAATTCGACTGCGCCATATATACTGAGTTAAAAATCTTTATATGGATAGATCGGCGACGAAATAATGTAACGTACACATTTTTTATATTTTTTTTTCCTAAAGAAATGTCTTCAAAAAAAGCCAAAAAGAACAATAAATTGAACGATAAAAAGAATAAACAAATCACTACTGATGATAATGATCATAATACAAATAAAAATATCATCAAAAAAAATAATAAAGATGAAATAGATTATATATTTTCATCCATTAAAAAAAAAAAAAAGACAACAAATTCACTGGAACTTGATGTTTCATCTAATCAAAAACCAATCAATAATGAATCAATCAAAATAACTAACACATCAAAATCATATAAAAGGAAATTAAATATAAATGATGATGATGGTTTTAGTGATTCAAGAGGAACTAAAAATCGTATGTTGTGAAGATTGATGGCTTTATTTTTTTTTTTATAAAAAAAATCCTAAATTTTTAAATATAAATATTTAGGTAAAATGACTGAAGATGGTTTGATGGTTTATGATTTAAATGAATTAAAAATTGGTGATGGTGGAGGTAAGGTGATTACTATTGTGTGAGATATATCCCTTTTATATACATTAATGGTTTTCTTTTGAATAGATACTTCATTATGTCCATTTGACTGTAATTGTTGTAAGTAATAATGAATTTATTATATAGTTTGAATTATTAAAATTTAAAAACTAATGATAAATTTTCAAAAAACAGGTTATTGATTGTATTTATGAAAGCAGCATTGCTTGTTGAAAAAATGGAAAATAGTAATAATAACTCCAACTAGCTGGATATATAATATGAATTAATGTGAATGCAGTAATGAAAATATCAAACAAAATACATTGGGCTTGCTAAAATAAATAATGAACATTATAGATTAATATAAATTTTTATTGATAAAAATACTGAAAGATGGACTTTTCTTCCCTACCTTTTAATAAATTTTCATTGACTGATCTTAAATAGAATTCTCCATGACGGTCTTTCACTAGATGCGATCTTTTTTAGAATTAAAAAAAAATATATAAATTTTTGGTAATTTAATTAAAATAAATATTTAAACAAAATATATTAATTTTTACCTTGCTCTTTTAGCAGCTAAATGTGCATAATCTAGATGTGTATATAACAATAAATATAAATTATTTTAATTATCTATAAGCGCGTAAAAATTAATTACTTACAAGTAGGCGGTGGTATTGAGACAGATCTTGTAGCACTAAAGCAAGAAAGTTAGAATAATTGAGTTATTTTTCAATTAAAAAAAATATTAATTTAAACCTACACTTGGTAATTATAAGAAAGTTTGTTTGTTAAATCTTGAATACTATCAGCGTCAAAGTTATTTTGGTCGTAAAGTACATGACCTTTAATTAAGAAAAAAGGTAAATATAATTTTTTTTAAAAAAAAAAAAAAACAATAAAATCGAGAAAAAAATTAATAATATACAATGAACAGGCCGGGCAGTTCCTTGTATAGTTGCATGAGACAACAAAACTGAGCGAGAAAATAAATAAATAAATAATTAATTTATCAATCAATCAATAAATATTAAAAATAAGCAAAAAGAACAAATAATTACAAAAATCAAATAAGTAAGGATGCGTTATATTTCTATCAACCACTGTTCCAACTACACAATTCCCTTTGCTGTGTTTATCACAAAAGAGTATTCTCAATTAGCACCATCATATATATGTTATTAATAATAAAATAATTACCTATCAGTATCAATTTGCTCCTTTGGATAAAGTCTTGTCTGATGTCTTTTGCCTATTGTTATAAATGTGATTTTTGGTTTATATGACCCACTTAATTTTATACAAGCCTCTAAAAAAATTATATATAATATTTAGGAATTTTTCTCGGTTTTAAAATAAATGACATAAATAAATGTAAATATTACCCTTGATCTTTTGAGTTCATACTCTAAAACCATCTTGAATTGACTTTCGGATACACCATCACGATACATGATTATACGATCAGGCAGGGCTCCATTTTTTTCGCGATAAACTGACAAGATTCGATAAACCATTCCACTAATGTTTTCGATTTTTTCTTGTCCTACTTTTTGACTTTCTATCATGGGAAAATACTGTCCACCTTGTTTATCAAGAGAACCAACAACAGCACAAATTGAGGGCATGACTTTAGGAATAAATTATTAAAAATAAACAATTAGCAAATTACTTAAAAATAAAGAGAAATAAATCGTGTAAAATATTTAATACCCGTAGGTCCTGCTTGTCCAGTAAAATGCGTAACATCTGCTCCGAGTAATAAGACGTGATCGTTTTTCCAAAAGGGTACATTAATTCCATCAATGGATTGATTGATACCTCCAAGTCTTATATTGACCTTTGATGAAACATTAGCAAAATATTGCTGTGACGATTTTTTTATTTTATCATATTGTACACATTGAGACGGTATTCCAAGAATAGTGTCAACGGTGTTTTTAACAGCATGATACCGTTTTTCATCTTCATCAGGAAGAACGATAAACATAAATTGTATATCATTTTTTAACATTTTATTGGCATTGCGATATTGTTTTTTAATTTCTTCTTCAATAATTTCTGATACAACCTCATCTCTACAGAATTCAATTCTGGGGTTGTCTTGATAGATTTCCTTTTGAAAAAAAAAAAAATTTATTAATACTAATTAATAAAAAATAAAGAAAAAATATATCTCTAAAATTTTTTACCATCCCTTGAGCTCTACTAATTCTAACAAATTCTTTGATGAGACCTTTAAGAGAATAAAGCATATTGTGCGAAAATCGAGAAAACACAATCACAATCCAATAATTAAGGGGAGTCCCACTTTTAATATATTTCCGATTTCGAAGATTCCAAACACCTTTATTATTAGAAAATCATTACTGATTTGCTTCATATCAAAAAAAAAATTTTTGAATCTTCTATTTTTAATTGCCAAGTTCTCCCAATTAATTAATAAAATTATTTTTACCTTTATCTGCAACAAAAGACTTGCCAGCTTTGGAATTAGGATGATACAAAACACTAGGTGGTGACAAAACACGAGCTTTAAAAATTTGTTTATAAATAATTGAAATAAAAAAAAAATTCAAATCATAATTTTCATTAAAGATTTAAACAAAATCAAATATATAAAAAATAATAAATTTCTACCTGGAGCAATTGTCATTTCTGTATCAATGACAGTGCCAAATTCTTTTAATTTTTCATCATTTTTAAATTCTAAAACATTATTTATTCCTTCTTTCAAACTTTTGATATTATCTCTAGGACATAATGCCGTATGTTTAATCATTATTTTTCTCTGTTCACCACTTAAGTTTGAAGTTTTAAATCTTTGACCCTAAATTAAAAAAAAAATGTCCATAAGTAGATATATAGATATATATAAATAAAGTTCATATATTTAGATTACCTCTAAAATATAACAGACTTCAATAGGAACTTTAATGGTATCATGACCTTTAATTTCTACAAGATACGAATATTCCAAATTTTTTTTATATTTGAGATAATAATATTTTTGAACGTCTATTTGTTTACCAAATTCTTCGGAATCAAATTTAACTTCAAAAGATTTAAAAGTGCTCAATCCTTTAATTTTCATAATTCTATTATTACGATATGTTAGGTTAAATTTTAAATTTTTTATGAATTTATTTATCCTTTCATGTCTATTTTGGTCCAATCTGGATGGAAGAAATTCGGTTGGCCTTAGTCCTAAAAACTTTTTAATTAATTCTACCAGGTTACCCGGTTCATAAAATACTTTAAATGTTGTGTTAACATTGATAAAATATTTATCTAGATTAAATTATAATAATAATTATTATTATTAATTAAATAAACAAGAAAATACTCAAAAAAATCAATAATAATAGTTCACCTTGTCCAGGTCTAAAACTCTCAAACCAACCCATCCATATCTCTGCACCACCTCCCAAACTTCTCCGAGTAGATGGTAAAAAAATCGATTCATCAATTCGTACATATTTCATTGAAGGAATATGGTGAATCAATGCATTAATTCCGTCTATTCCGGCTAAATAAACAAGCAAATAAATATTTATTATTATTATTGATACCAAATAAAATCATGTAATATTTATTTTCTCATCTACCTAAATCAAAATAGTTCCAATCCATATTATTTCCTGCGAAGTTTTTTTCAAGATCTTCGAGATTGACACGTTGAAGTTTACAAACTTTAACTATATATTCAGTTTCATTGAATTTATTATTTTGCTCTTCACCATCCTGGCCTTCTTCTTTCAAAATAACCTGGTCAATTTTTTGCATATTTATTCTTTAATAAAAATCATATATAATAATTTTAAAAAAATCAATTGTTAAATATCTAACCGATGTAGTAGCAAATTTATTCTCGGATCCAAGATTTAATGATTCAGTTGTGTAAAGTGTTGAGGTGCCTAAAAAATAATATTAAATTAATTTTTGTGAATCGATAAACTGATAATAAGAATGGTGATGATGGTCTTTACAATCATAAACAACGCCAATTCCTGAAAACCATCCATCACGTTCTTGTTCTTCTAATTTTTGGAAGACGGCGCGTAAAGTGTCCGGAAATGGTTTTTTAGGACTTCTTGTTTGATTTTCATTCGTGTTATCATCATGATCATTATCAATATTATTATTATTTCTTTTTCGTAAAACTGCTTCTATAGTGATATTATATCTTTCTAAATACGGTTTTTCTGCAATCTAATATGATTATTATTATGTAATACATATGTACGCATTAATAAAGTTCAAAGAAAAATGTTAAAGTATTTTTATATTTCAAGTAAAAAAAACAATATCTTTATACCTTTTTTACTTCAAAATAATTTGCATATACTTCTGTTTCACGACCTTTAATCCCATAATTTGGTCTCCTTATAACTTTATTAGTTTCTTCTTTATTCAAAGGTCTCTCTTGAACTTTGTCAGAAACTTCTTTTGATTTTTCTTTAATATTCGACATACTTCGATTTTAGATATATCACAGTGGGGCGTTACATATCAGCATAAACACAAACATATGTGAGGATTTTTTATTGGGAAAATGCAGATCAATTTAACAAATAATAAATAATAATAAATAATATCGTTCATTGTAAATATTCTCCTAAAATTACTTTTGCTGCTTCTTCTCCAAAATTCTCTTCATCACTAATCTCACACTTGGGTAAATAAATAAAAAAGCATATATAG